GTTTGAAAGGGTGCGTTCCAGCACCACTACCATGTCCACACTGGCCTTTTGCAGCACACCTGGTGGCAAAGACTCGCAGCAGCCTCTTTGTATCCTACCACAAGCCCCACACGAATCCCTATCAATCATCTGCACACGCCAACCACGCGCCATCATAATGATCCCCAAACGAAATTTTCCTGAATTTCATGAAAAATTGCGAACTGTCATTCTCAAATTGTAAAACGTCCGAAAAGTTCATGAACATACCTAAAAATAAAAGTTCATCCATCAAACAATAAGTAGAATAAATGAATCATTCTCTTCTTATGAATGCTAAAGACCCTTGTTCAATTTTGGTTCAGGGGTAGGTTTGGCGCCGCCCTCAGAAGGAAGAGTTGGCTTGTTCTACTTGCGCCGCCCCTACCACACGGTTTAGGGTTTAGGGTTTAGGGTTTAGGATTTAGGGTTTAGGGTTTAGGGCTTAGGGTTTGGACCTTTTTCACATGGGATTCTATCAAGGCTCTTGCCGTGTAATCCTGTGGGATCCAAGTGATGACTCCTGACCATCACGGTGTATTGTTCCGATGTCAACGGTGAGACGGTAAAAACCCTTGATAAGAAATAGTAACGATAAGAGATTTGTTTTCCCAAACACCAATTATTCGAAAGGCCAGAAAGAAATCTCTAGAAGATCAGTATCTATAGACCATAATGAATCTTCAACTATGGATCAAAATAGTTAAAGAGAAAGGAATATTCAAAGCTTCCACCCTTAGAAAGAAAAGAGCCACTTACAAAGATGGGCCTGTGGCAACAGACAGATTTCTAATTTTCAAAAATGAAAGATCATGAATATCAAAAATGTTCTCAAAACATGTCATCTATGCTCTAAATCTCTTAAAATTCCTAGAATGTCCTGAACATATTTTTAAACAAGGAGGAATTTATCCAAATGAAATTTCCAATGAATTTAGGTAGAAAAGACCCATCATTATCATCTAATAATTGGTTTGGTCAGAGGCAGAGGCTAGTGACCGACATGTACGCCAGCAAAAGACCGCTCGTTTCACTCTTTTTGCTATTATGAATTGGTCTTTCGTTAAAACACGGGAGAATATTCATTAGAGGAACATTAAGGGTACGCAGGACAGGTCCGTTCTCAGCGTCTTTAGAATCAATCTCGCTCTTTTCTTTCGTTCATGTTATCTCTATAAGGCAGAAGATTGGTTCTTGATTCCTGGTCAGCAAGATTCGTGTTGCAGGTCGAAACAATCGCACGTTTCCAACCTTTCAACAAGGAACCTTGCGCCATCCCAATTCCTGGCTCGGACTTTTGTGCTCAAGCCGTGGCACGGCATCATTGCGAATCGAGGTCGTCGTTCGATTCAATGATGGTCTGCACGCTTAAGACCACAATGTGGACCTGCATATGCTTGCTTGCACTCCATATCGCCCCATATCAGGGCATCCTCCCAGGCCCCGCCGTTCAGTCCTTTTGTTCGGCCTTCTCCAGGTCCATTGGGGACTGCAATGGCTTCAGGTGGACGTAGGTGGGAAAAAGAACCTCCTTCTGCGGGGCCATGTGTGTAGCGCAAGTCTTGTTCCAGGACATCGAGCAAACTGTGGCTTGCACATTGCGATAGACCTGCCAAAAATCCATCTCCGGGCGTAGCATGACAGCGGCCACAAAGGGGAAGGAGATGCAAGGGGGCACATAAGCACCAAATCCGCTCATGAAGAACGACTCAGCCAAGGCATTCAGCGGCCAAGGCGCTGAGCATATCAACTGCAGGCCCGCACCTCGGCAAATGCGCCCAGCAGCCAATGCGTCGGAAGCTTGTCGGAACTCTGCCACGCAGACGTCCGGACCGTGCTGATGGATAACCTGGGGACTTGCGAGAATAGCGGATCCCTCAATTGGGATTCCCGTTCTTGTAAAGACTAAGACCCCAATAAGGTACCCCCAATTTCGGAAACCACCACCTGCGAAATCACTTGCACCGGATCTGTCGCGCTCGCGCTGACCACATGCTGGGCTAGACCCAAGCCTCCCTGGTGGAGTTCCTTTCCAAGGGTAGGTTCATGGGCCCTTGATATGGCCCCTTACTCTCTTCTCTTTAAAGGGTCCTGATGTATGGGCCCTTAACTTGTATAGGGTATATAACTACCCTTAGTTCCTCAAAGAAGTCCACGACGATAACCTGGCAGGTCTTCGACAAAAAGCTGGCGGCGTCACGGAGGGCAGTGGTCCTCGGGGACCGTAGGAACCCTCAACTTGGGATTTTGGGTTAAGGGCTTAGGGCCCTATGCTACTCGAAAACCGATTAAGGTACATGAACCATAAGCCGTATCATAAGCCCTTTTATGGCTTCATTTGGGCCCCAAGGGTCTTACCACTGCGGCAGGGCCCAAGGAAGATGCAGCTCCCTGCTTGAAGGAGCCCGCGTACTGGGTTGCTGACTCCTGGCAGCAGCCGCCCGATATGAAAGGAGATCGAGTCCTTACATCTGGCATCTCCAACAGCCATGGAATTAAAAACAAAAAAAAGAAAGGGGGCAAAGCTCCATGTTTACTAGGCAAAGAAAGCCCCATGTTTACTTCAAAATAAGGACACCCAAGAAAGAACTTTAAAGTTTGCATATGGGCTAAGCAAGACTCAATGCGCATCTGCACGCTGTAGCCGATGCTGACACGATGTATGCCACCGTTTACAGGCTGCATGGCTGTGCACATTCCTGTCCCCCCCGATAGCCCAAGCTCTGCAGCAATCTCTACTAAGTCTTGATGCGTGACTTGAGCCTGTGGAAGTTTCCGCAAGTCCGAGCCGGTAGATGGGACGACCTGGATGCGACGGCCCTCCTGCAGTACCAGCTTCTGTGCACAGGTTGAATGCAAAAGCGCCGCAAGATCCGGAGGAGCCAGCTCTTGCAAGATCCGAGTTGGAAGCCTGGAGATGAGGCTGTCCAGGCTGCAAGAGCACGGCTGCCGCCCAGGCGAAGCAGCACGAGCTGAAGGCGGCTGCACCTCGGAGCTGAACAACCACGGGAACTTGATCATGTGAGGAGGTGCTAGGTTGATGATTGCTAACCCTACATGTAGCTATGTCTGCTACCGACTACTTCCTGCCAGCACCGGAAGAAACGAATCACAGAGATAAGGCTTCTTTTCGACTGTCAGACATGCATCGTGAAGAGGCGCCGGCCGCTGCAGCTCGATCCACCAAGCCATGGCTGGATTCGCCCTCCTCGACAGGCTCCTCAGCTGCCTTCGCGGCCGCTCTCATGCCTGCTTGCTGCTCCTTGCATACCTCCTCACACCTTGCGTCAAAATGCCTCGCCAGATCCTGTGCGGAGAGAGGGGTTGATCGCTCTGCCTGCCGGCCCCATGCCACAAACAGGTCATTGGGTGCCTCACGCAAGGTCGCGGTATCCACGTGGGCAGCGACGTCGATCTTGACACCTCCGACCTCCCGAGGTCCCTTGACCAGGATGCGCTGCCTCACCTCGGCATCCTCGAACGACACAATGGCACAGCCCATGCCGCTGTGCTTCTTCACCGAAACGTGCTCGCCCTTATGGAGAACCGGCTGCTTGCCCTGGGAACCTTGGGATTGTTCACACTTGTGCTGCTCCTCGTTGACATCACGGCTCCGGCAATCTTGCGGACTGCGGGTGCCAGAGCCCGGCGAGGGCTCCCTTAGGGGATCCTGAAACGCATCCTCCATGGCATCCTCCTTCGGAGGATGGGCCGCCTTGGCCTTCCACACCAGCGATCGACTCGTCGACTTGGGGCCAAAGTTTTCCGACGCCGGCTCGCCTGAGCCCTGTCCGGCTTCCGGAAGCTTCGCGCCAGCCGGAGCGCTGACAAACGTGCCCTGCACTGGGCTTGCAAAAGCCACCAGGCCAGAACCCGAGACTGAGAACAAGTCAGGCCTTGCTCGAATGCGGGATGTTGCAGAAAAGGAGCTGAACCATGCCTCCAACGCATTCAGCCGACTGTCCTTCGGGGAGCCTTGCAGGAGGTGGCCAATTTCTAAATCCTGTGCGCTTGGTGCCGTGGAGGGCTCCAGTGATGCTAGGGCAAATCCCATGCTTGGAAAATGATGCTTCAACGCCACAAAGCACACAGATTCTCCGTGAGTCCTTGTTGTGAACATACGACGGAACCACGCCGAATTAGCAGCACCTGAACTTAATCGGCGCACAGCAACTCGTACATCTCTGTTGGTCATTCTGGCGAGTTCTCTGAGCACCCACAGCCGCCTGTTGCCAGTGACAGCGAACCACACATTTCCCTCCTGCCATACTGAGAGTTTTGGAAGGGCACACGCTTCCAGGTCTCCAGAAAGAAGCTCCTTCAACGTATCCACCAGTAACCTGCCGTTCCTGAAGCGAACTTCAATGGAGTCGTGTGCCCAACGAATCTGGCTCGCGGACAGCTCCAACGCGTCTGCTTCATGCTCACACTCAGTCTCCGAATCAATAGACTCTGCATCCTGAGACGATGCTTCTGCAGCCGCGAGCTTTTCTACCTCTTGCCAGTGGCCAGATTTGCAGGCAGGACCATATGAACAGCAAACAGCACCACTCGACACTGAAGCATCATGCAAGAATTCGCCATGACTGCGCTTGTACCTGCACTTGTTGCGCAGGAAGTAGCAGCAATGCTGAGGAAGCCGGATCTCATTGTACTGCCAATGGTAACAAACCAGACCAGGGTGGTCGTCACAGAAGAGTCGCAACCCGCCGCTGCTGGATATGAATTCTCTGTACTCTGGATTCAAATGGTAGAAGCCCGGCAGGTCACTGCCGAGAAGTGGTCTCTCTGCTGTAGAGATGAAGACAGCTAGCTTGGCCGCCACAGTGATGCTGTCCAAGTTCCCAGTACCTCTACCTGGAGGTTCATGGTACAAAAAAACCCAATGATAACTGTTCTCATAACCCGATTAGAACCATCTTGGGGCACTTAAAGGGCTTGAAAGTGGGCTATAAGTGCAGTTATCATGGGGTGATAAGTACCATGAACCTCCAAGTACAGATTGCCAAGCCAGGTGGTCTTGAGCAGGGGTAAGAACAAACTTGGGGGCCATTTAAATGAAACTTTTCCAAGGCACCCGTGCCAGGTGCCGCCTGCAACTTCCAGTGACGAGAGCCCTCCTCCTTCGAAATGCAGAGAAGATCGGGAATAAACCTAGACCCTAAACCCTAAACAACCCTAAACCCCCTCCTTCGAAATGCGGAGAAGATCGGGAAAAGCTCTGCAGAACTCCACTAGGTTTGTGATGGCAGACCTGCGGTTTGTCTAGCTCTTAGTTGGGATAGTATTAACAATTATAATTTCTATGCCTTATTGTGTTTAAGTACCCTTCAAACATGAAAACAATTTTATCCCACTATGACAAAGCTGTGGGGACAGCAGCCTCTAGTGGCCAAGGATGCAGCCGAAACCCATGCCACCGCTGAAGACTTAAGAAGACATTTCCGGGGCGAGTTGCACCCTTTTAAACCCAGGCTCGGACAAGCTAGCTGAGAGCAATGCCCTAAAAACTAAACCCTAAACTCTAAACCCCAAACCCTAAACCCTAAACCGCAGAGACCTCAGCGTTTTGGTCTCCCCATGCCTGTGCGCAGGATGCCGAGAATAGAAAGGTTGCAGCCTCTCGGATCCGACGGTCCCACCTTGCTCCTGGGACTGGCTGGTTCCAAATAAGGAATCAGGGAATGAGGGCGCTTCAGAATCCCTTAAAGGGTCTATATAGGGCCCTCATTCCCTCGATCCCTACTAAGAATCCGGGGGGGGGGGGGGGGGGGGGGTCGATCACGGAACATGGACCAAAGATGACTTCATCTCTGCTTGGATACTTTAGGGTTTGGGGTTTTGGCTTCATCTCTCATTTGGATACTTTAGGGTTTTTAGGGCTTAGGTTGACGGTAAACCCTCAGAACTAAAAAATCTTGTTGTTCTTGCTGACACCTGCGCTACCTCTACAGGGCCGGCAAGACAGAATGGGCCCCTAGGAAAGGGAATGTACCGTGCGGGCCTGGTGCGCACTTCAAGAGTAGCACTTTCTTCTAGTTTAAGAAGCACAGCACTAAGACCCTGCAGTACGCTTGTTAAATTACATAAAGCCGTAGCCCGCTGTTTATCCCTATCTCATCTACAATGCACATCTGTGAAGTGAATATACGGAATAGCACAAAAACCAGTTCTAGGATGGCCCTTAAAACCCTCTGAAAAATATTCCTGAATATGATCCTCTTAAACCCAATAAGGGATATGTAAAATGTCCCTAGGGGTTACCTAGAGTTAAATACGTGTACGGTCAAGCCCAGGGCACCTTGATGAAAGCTGCCAGGTCCCGAGCCACGGCGCTGTGCCAGGAGGACATGGTGGCACGGCACAGCGAGCGTTTTGGGGTCTGCTTGGCCGTTATAGGGTTTAGGGTTTAGGGTTTAAGGGTTCAGGGTTCAGGGTTTAGGTCCGCCGACCCTGGCGGCGTGTTGGATGGGAAAAGGAGGTGAAAACCTCCCTCTTTCCCTCCTTACCCCCCCCCCCAAAACGCGGGGGGGTAGGGGGGGGGGGGTACCCCGCCAGCTTTTCCGTGGAGGAAGGCCACCCACACCGCGTAAACTCATGGACCATAGGCGTTTTCGCACACCCCCCCCAATCTACCCCCCCCTACCGCCCCCCCCCCCACCCCACCCCCCCCCCCCACCCCCCACACCCACCCCACCCCCCCCACCCGCCCCCCCCCGCCCCCCCCAACAGGAACCGCAAACAAAATCACCAAACCCCAAACCTTAAACTTGTTCTCCTGCGGGGTCGGCGGCTTGATCCGGAGGCTCTTAAATTTAAGGTTTAGGGTTTAGGGTTTAGCGACAAAGGGATGCTTGTAAGGGGTTTGTATTGTGCTTTGGGAAAACCGGGTTTTTTGTCAAAAAAGGGTTTCGGGCAAGAGCTGATTCCAGCGTTCCATTTGCCAGATTTGCGTCGGTAACGAGTCGCAAATGTTTCCATTTCTTCATGTCCCTTTGCCGACAGTCAGGGGCTCAGGAGGAAGCCACACACCTATCGAACTTCCACCTGTTTAGGTTTGGGGTTTAGAGTGTGGAGTTTAGGGTTGAGGGATGTTTAGGGTTTAGGCTTCAGGCTGTGTAGGGAATAGGGTACAGGGTTTAAGCTTCATGTCTATGGGGCTTGGGCTTGAGCATCGTGCAGCCTTGGCTCTGGGGCGCTTGTCTGTGTGAAACTGCGCTTGAGCCTCACTGTGCAAAAGCTACTCCATGCAAGCCTAGACCCTAAACCCTAAACCCTAAACCCGAAACCATACACCCTAAACCCTAAACTCCCAGACCAAAACAAGGGGCGGGCACGAACCCCCCTCGTGCAATCTGTCAGCCACAGTCATACAAACCCCTAGACCCAAAACCCAAAACCCAACACCCAAACCCTAAACCCTAAACCCTAAACCCTAAACCCTAAACCCTAAACCCTAAACCCTAAACCCTAAACCGAAGACTTCAGCTTCTAGATTGCCAAAGGGGTGACCTCGCTTCGGTTGCCTCAGAAAAAAGCTGAGAAGCTGGGAGGCACAATTGTTCAAGGACTAAAGGAGGGGACCCTGAAAAAGGGACCTTAGGTGCTCTTTGGGGGTTTAGGGTTTAGGGTTTAGGGTTTAGGGTTTAGGGTTTAGGATTTAGGGGGCTATTTTAAGGGTTGCTTAGGTATATAAGGGACTACATAAGGCAAGTATACTGGTTATATAGAGGGGATAAGAGTGGGGCCCCCCCAAATGCGGAAGAAGGTCGAGGGCTTCCACGCGTTTAGGGCTTCAGCTTAGGGTTGGACCTCAAGCCCCAAAGCCCTAAAACCCAAACCCCAAACCCAAGATCCCTTACACCCAAAAATTTAGCCGAAGACCCCAAACCCTAAACCATAAACCCTAAACCCTAAACCCTAAACCCTAAACCCTGAACCCTGAACCCGCACCGGCGCAAGGCACTTTGTTTCTAATGTTCTGATAGCTGTACAGGCAGATCCAAGCGAGTTCCGGGACTGTGTCTCCAGGGTTTAGGGTTTAGGGTTTCGGGTTTAGGCTTTAGGGAGAGGTTTGAGGATTTAGCGTTCACACCTGACATTGAAGGTTTCCTGTAAACCCTCAAACCTAAACCCTCAACCCTCAACCCATGGCGATTCACGGAGTGCCTTTTGCTGAGGCGTTTTTTGTTTGGAATTTCCTAGGCGATAGTTAAGCCCGAAGACATTTGGTGAGTTCTCTAAATTAAGGTCCCAGTTTGGGTGCCCGAAACAATCGGGGCGGCATTATAATGAGGACCACAAAATAAGGACCCCAAAAGGGCCCCCATTCAGAGAATCCACCATTTTCGGATTTAGGAGCCTAAGCTTTTGACAGTTTAGGACCATCCCTGAACTGGGGCCAAGGCTTTCTACTAGGCTAAAAAGGCTGCACATGCAATTGGTAACCAAAACCCAAGATTAACCTAGGAAAAAAAGGTAGCCTTTTTGTCTATAAGGGGCTTGTAGGGGAACCTAAGCCCTCAAAAAAAGGGACTGAGGGCCTACGACGGCTATGGTGACAAGTATGATTCCCCGAATCGGTGTGCTGTTACGGCCTCGACCTTCCAGATGCATGGAAGACCTCATCCGTATATGTGCTGGTGAATCCTCGAACTGGGGTCATGTACCCTATGAAATTATAAGCCCTATCGGTGTATATGGACCATAAACCCTAAACCCTACCCAAACCCTAAACCCTTTTAGGGCTCATTGAGTAACCAAGGTAGTGACGGGTTTGGAGGGGGTGTGAGAGAGTCCCGCTCAGCACGCCTGGAATCTCTACAGTTGCCTGGTGGCAAAAGTGGCAAGATTGAAATGAAAAATCAGGGGTTTAGGGTTTAGGGCTTAGGGCTTAGGGCTTAGGGTTTAGGGGATGTTTACGATGTTTACGACAGGAGGCTCCCCAAGGCAGAGGGATCTTCTATGGGTCTAGGAGCTGCTTCTCTACCGCATCGTGGTTGGCACTTCGTGCCCCCGCGAGCAAGCCTCCCTTTGCACCTCGCAAACTCTTCGGGTTTAGGATGAAATTATAGGTTTAGGGTTTAGGGTTTAGGGTTTAGGGATTTAGGGATTTAGGGATTTAGGACAGGGACAGTGAAGGTCCGAAAAAAGGTCGACAACCCTAAGCCCTAAACCCTACACCCTGAGCCCTAAACAGGTCATTCTCAGGGACACCAGCCAAGCCCTTGGTAGTGTGGGATTTTGGTACAGGTTTTTTGGTTTAGGGTTTAGGGTTTAGGATTTCGGGGTTAGGGTTTCGGGATTTGGGTTGTCTTTAGACACCCTGGCAGACTAAGGGTTAGGGCTTAGCGTATAGGCTAGAGATCCTTAAGCCCCGAGTATTCCTAGACCCGAAAGGCCCTGATCCCTAGAGCCCTTCGACCCTCACTCACTAAACCCCCAAATCCTGAACATGTGTTTAGGGTTTGGGGTATAGGGTTTAGTGTTTCGGGTTGAGGGTTTTGGGCTTAGGTTCTGAGATTGGGACCTTTCCAGGCTTGATGCGTTCACCTTGGGGGGTGTGGGATCCAGGTCTCGAGAGGTTGCTCTGCGCCCGCTCACAGCGAAAACGCCTCAGCGCAGGACGAATGCAAGCGCCAGGAGGCAGGGTTTCCCAAACCCCTAAACCCCTAAAGCCCCAAACCACTCTCTCTCTCTCTCTCTCTCTCGCAGACTCGGGAATCCGTCAGCTGCCGTCTACAGCCCGATAGGCAATGCTCTCTGAGCAACGCCCCACCGCCCATGTTAAGCAGCGCAGTCCAACTACAGACCATAAATAGTGTTAATAACCCACGAGAACCAACTCACGACACTCAGTGCGATTGACATCTCGCGCATGCACCGCTTGCTGCACACTCAACTTGGTTTCAGGATGTGAAGTCTCAGAAAACAGCAGTTGGATCGTGAACAAAGGGCGCGTCTGTGACATTGCATGCCAACGGCAATGATCCTGGATAGCCGTCTCCCATGTCCCTGAAACACTATGTTGCATCCAGCCGTGCTCCGGTTGCAACCACTTGAAGTTAATACAGTCAGGCGTTTGGACTACAACAGAGGTGCCGAACAGGACACGTCGTGAGTAAAAGCATGGTTCCAGCGACTCCATGTACCCGCCTTCCATTCCGGAAGAAGACTTGGCACAGGAATTTGGTGTGCCTTCATTACTTACTAACCCCTGAAACCCCTAAACCCCCAAAGCCCCAAAGCCCCAAAGCCCCAAAGCCCCAAAGCCCCAAACCCCCAAACGCCCAAACCCCCTAAACCCCCCTAAACCCCCCTAAACCCCCCTAAACCCCCCTAAACCCCCCTAAACCCCCCTAAAGCCCCCCTAAACCCCCCTAAACCCCTCTAAACCCCTATAAACCCCTAAACCCCTAAACCTCTAAACCCCTAACCCCTACAGTAAACCCCTAAACCCCTAAACCCTAAAAATGCTGACTGCCGAGCCATCCTAGGGGCAGGTACTAGCAGACGCGAGGGAGGCACTTGGTCATAATAAGGGGCAAGGGTTTATAACTTACAGCCCAAACCCGGCCAACCCTAAACCCCAAGCCCTAAACCCTGAACCCTAAACCGAAACCCTAAACCCTAAACCCCAAACCCTAAACCCTTTTTTGAAACCGGACTTGATGACTGCCAGCATTGCCTCCCCCGCTGCTCTTCAGCTGAGGCCCGAAAACATCTGCACACAATCACTCCATTCCCTAAACCCTAAACCCTAAACCCTAAACCCTAAGCCCTGATGAACCTCGCCCCAAACCCCAGTGCATCGAGATCGGGTTGAGGGTTTAGGGCTCAGGCATTCGAGGATGCTGGTGACTCCTTCAGGCTTCCCGTAGGGTAGGCGTCTAAAACGTCGAGCTGCAAAACTGCAGACTCACATGCTTCGGGAAAGGGTTGAAACTAGGGTTTAGGGTTTAGGGTTTTGGGTTTAGGGCTTAGGGTTTAGGGCTGAGGGTACAGGGTTCACAGCTCAGCGCCGGGCATGGACCAACATCTGCACCTGGGGGCTTTCGGAGGATGCCCCCGCGCAGGATTGGAAGGAGGGTTTAGGGTTTGGGGTTTAGGGTTTAAGGGTTTAGGTTTAGTAAGTGAGCCTCCATCCCCCCACCCCCGCGGGTGTCTTCGTTCAAAGCTACGGCACGGGTTCAAGACTTAAGTGCCTTAAGAAACCTTAATCCGTAAACCCTAATCCCTAAACCCGGGGGGGGTGGAGGGGCTTTCAGAGCTACGGGACAGCTTCAAGACTTAAGTGCCTTAAGAAACCTCAAGCCCGAGACCTCACTTCTCGAACCCCAAACACACTTTTCACCTTTCATGCTGTCTTCGGGGCCCTGGAACTAGACTGCAGTGACTACAGCTCTCTTGGCAGCCCAGCAACCGCATCATAACAAGAGCACCCTTTTTGGGGTTGGTTACTTTCTAAGGGAACCTTGAACCACCAAAAAACAAGTTGAAAAGGGTACCACAGGGCTACCAAGGCCTTGGGACTAGACGAACAGAGCCTTCCATCGTCTGCACCTACTCTACACAGCCCTATCACGCCTGCACAGTTGCATCCTTGCACCCTCGACCCCATATACCGACCTGCCCTTAAGTATTCAGCATTACTTAGCTGCTCCTTCTACTTTGCGGCTAACACGGCCTACAGACTTAAACCCCAAACCCCACACCCCAAACGCTAAGCCCTAAACCTAAACCCTAGCACAGCCACACTGGGCGCCCCCACGCCCAGCTCAGGGCTTGTCAAAATCGACCTTGAAGCCAAGACTTCCGGTGCTTCAGAAGCCGTGAGCTTAGGGTTTAGGGTTCAGGGTTTAGGGTTTACTTTGTTCTGGGTTCAAAAAAAAGGGTTTAGGGGTTTAGGGCTTCAAAAGCCCAGGGTACTTCTAGGGCGGCTTGGGGTTAGGGTTTCGGGCTGTGGGTTTTAGAAGCCCAGGTTTTGGCA